ACTACTTTTAATTGCTGCTGAAAATCGATTCGACTGAAAAATCCAACATACCTGGTGCAAGTACAGAAAATTGTTTGAGGCCAGGTGATGAAGAATAAATGGTCAAAAATTCATCAGTAACTTTGAAAGACGATTTGCTTTCTCCCTCATCCATTGCCTCCACATCTAACAAAAAATAAAGCAAATTAAATTTTAAAAAAATTATATCATTCCTAAACTAAAACTATATCATTCCTAAATTATATGATGCTGTATAAGACGTGCAACCAAGAGCCAGAAAAAATTTGTACAAACTATTAAGAAGAACCTTTTTGGAATTCATTTCGATCACGTTCGATATCGTTAAGAAATTCCCATGAACCAACATGCTCCTCGAGACTATGACGGAGCGCTCTTTCGTTTATGGTTTTCCACTGTAATTCACTTTTCAGTGTATACACATGTTCGGCAAGCGGAGAGAATTTTCTCATAAGGACTGTAATACAAGAGGAGGACCTGAAAATTTTTATATGCACAGTGATCTATTTATTGTCTGTAACATTATTTAATAAGAAGAGTTAACATTTTACTTGGTTAAACTGTATGAATCAAAAGGGAAAACGGATTCGAAAGGGATTCTGTCATCTGATGTTGTCGGTAAGATATGATTTACGTAAACAAGCTGCAATGACCTGCAAAATTTCAAACACAATAATTACTTAAGAACAATAAAAGCTTAGATATAAGTCACTGCACCATGTGAAAAAAAACTACTTTTGATATGACCCAATTTCAAACTTAAAATGTAAGGAATATCATAGAAATTTTCAAGCCATTGCGCGTGGAATGGTTTAAAAATAATGACTGAAACTTCAAAAAATTTTTTGCTCAATATGACACATTTTAAAACACTTATAATACTAATACCTGCTTATTGTCGCAAAACACAAAGCAACAGGACGACTAACATAAGATAAAGGTTCCAACGAACTGTGGATAATATGTCCCAGTCCCCAACGTCGCATATCATTTATTTCTAAAAAGAAAGAACAGGTGAACTGAATTAGTCGTCCTTTTCGCACTCATCTTAGAAAAATATGATGAGAAAGATTTGCGCTAAATCATCAATGAACAGAAATACTTTAGTATTACTAGTTTTGATATTTAAACTGGTTTAGCTATTCAGAGCCGTCATATTTAGTTTACAAAAAGTTACCTTTTGCTTGAACTATTTCACAATATCGAAAGCAAAATGCAATTAGAAAAGCTTGAAAAACAGCATAGAACGTTCCATGTCGAGCTGAGCCAGCTGCTGTACCAGCTGTTCGATCAACCATTTCATTCACATACGTAGTGCACCATGATGATAATATTCCTAACCATTTTAATGCCGTACTAAATTTTATACTTTAACACAAAGTTTCAACACGTCTGTAAGTTACAAGTTGTAGATATTAAAAACAATCAAAGAATATTTCAACTTTGTTCGATAATCAAAAACTATTATAAACTACAGAATAAAAGCACCTCAAATCGATATAAGAAGCCCGTGAGAGCATACTTCCAATGTAGCAGGCAGCACCTTGCCCTTTCTTCCAGTCATTAGGTGCTTGGTTCAATCCAGATACAAAACCCCACAACCAGTTCAAGAAATAATCGCAATAATTCTGGAAAAATCCGAAAACCAATCTACTCAAAAGCATAAACAAAAAACTTAAAGATATAATTAAAGCATGCACAAAATTTACCTCATTAAGACTACACATGTAAAACCAAATAAATGAAACGTTCTTCAAATTATGAGCCATTAAAATATGGTCTTCGAATGCAAATAATGATTCCTCAAATAATGTCCTCCGTTTCATTTTAACTGGCAGCAAATCGAAATCTGTATACATTCATGACATTATTAAAAACATGAAATCAATTTTTGTACTTTCTTTTGAATAAAATAATTTTATTACTGAGCATTGCATATATTTAAAAACTAAAAAATGTTTCAAAATACAGATGGAATAATTTACCAATTTGTAACGGACTTTTTTGGTTGTGGATTTTCGCTATATACGTAAACATATAGCACATGCAACAATCCAATTTTTCCATCCTTTCATTATTATTCAATATTTCCTTTTTTTTTGATTCATATTCTTCATCCTTAAAGTAACCAAATGTAATCATAATATAACATTAGGAGCAGAAGTACAAAAACATCCTGCCCACAAGATATAATTCCATACTATAAATTCAAAAAATGTTGTCTCCGAACAGCGATTAGGACTCCCTAACACACCATGCAAATGTTTAAAACACCAGTCAAACTTACCAGTGTAAATACATTTAGGCCCATGTCATCATCTATTCGGTTTGTTACTGAGTCTTCCGTTTTCATTAATACAGCCTTCAAATGGATTAATTGTAATTTCACACAAAGGCAAAAAATGCTTAGATGAACTATATTTAACATTAAACTAATTAGTTTAAAAAAATTATCCACTTACATCAAGTTGAGAAAGATTATCAACAATGATAGAAAATATATCCGTTCGACAATACCTCAAAGTTTCACATAACAATAATAGATTTTTTACATAGCTAACATATCGAAGCGAAGGTGTCGAAAAATGTGGAAAACTCTGACGGATTATTTTCAAAAGATTTTTCGTTGCTCTAAAATACTCAACGCTGTTAGTAATACTTCACTTCTGATAGAAAGTTTGGGACATCTCGAATATAATGACCTTTAGAAAAAGATCATACAATAGTGCCCAATATTCTCTTTTACAAAAATAACTAGTTATCTTAATTTTCAGATCACACTTTTTAATTACAACCGTTATTTCCTTTAGCACTTATGTTCTACCCGTACATGACATCTCCCTTTACTTCAATAGATAATTTCTGTTTACCTTATCTTAGAAACATCTACAAAGATAACTTTGAAAATTGTAAAAAATTTTAAATCAGCGATGATTTAAAAACAATCCAAAAATTATTTTAGATAGATGTTATAATTCAGCAATGCAGAAAATCTTACTTCTAGCTCATGTAAAATATGAAATTCTGAAGTACGAAAATTTAAAATGAGTAATTCATCCTCATTCACTACGCCACATAACGTCTAAGCAAGAAACTATTTAAACAAAAACAACATTATATGACTTTAATAATATTCTGATCAAAACTATGAAAACTTACACAGGAAAACATTCCGTAATGAAAGTCAATCCCTTATTTGCTAGTTTGTATATACTTTCTTGGTCTTCTTCTGTTGCAGATAATTTAAACTGTTTGACACCATCCACTATAATGCATATTTTAACTTGCAAGAAAATATATTTTGATATAGACCACTACAGTTTCTAACTTCATAGAAATATGTGATTTTTTAATAAGTTATAACTTGCCAACCTTGATCTTCATTAGGGTCATTCACGAGTTCAACTTTAGCAACAAGATGTTGTACAAAACATTTCATGATCATTTCGGTGTAACAAATGTACTGCACACCAATATTTCGAAGCAAATCAACAAATTCGGGTCGGATTTCATTAGGAATGCAGTGCCATTCAATTTTCTATAATTTTGAGAATGGAGATTTCTATGAACTATTCTTGATAATTAAAGAAAAATCATGATGAATAAAGTAATATTTAGAGAAAAAAAAATCAATCATTTGTTTGTAACTTTCACGCATTTGAAACAAGCAGTGTTCAGTTGTCATCAAAATGTCGAGTTCTTTTGATATTATATTACTAATACAATTGCTTATCTAAATAATTAATCATAAAAAGTAAGAGTTTTAAAAATGATTAAATTCCAACTTACGACAAATTTTAATAATAACTGTTTGCATCGATGGTCAAACAAATGAGCAATACCCACAAACTGACGAAGAAAGTCAGTAACTGTTTGTGGTTCCCAACGACTCAAGAAATCAATTGCTTTACATAATTTATCATAGGATAAGCTACCATTTATATCACCCTGACAAAATATTGCACTATTTTAACACTCATTTTTCCACAAAATTCAAAAACAAAGTAATTATTGAATCATGCACTTGATGCCAATCTCAATTCAAATTCAACATGTAAGCAATACAATTAATTGCACTTCGCATACGAAAATCCAAAGCAAAAAATTTGGAAACGAAAAACAGCAGCTTGAAATTGTTGATTTACAAAAATTATGACAGCTATAAGACGACGATTCTCAATATATTCAAATTCGTTATACTCATTACTAATTATGCATCAAAAAGGCTGATAAGTTAGCAAACTGACCGAATGATAAGCCTCAATAATACCCTCAGCAGACGCTGCCTTTTGCTCAACGTTGTTCGCCATTTGAGCATGACAATCGGTGCTTAGCAAAGTAATATAGCCTAAATTAAACGATGAATAATAAAACACGTAAATGATGATAACCACCAAACTTTGTACAGGATAATCTACAAATGTCTGAATCAATTTAGGAAATTTCGTTGCATTTTTCATTCTGACCCGATATGCAATTCCCTGATTCCATTAAAGTTGCAACATTCCGAAGCCAAATATAACTTGAATAAATTCAGGATTTCATTCGATCATTAGCTCTCTTTTAATTGATTTGCGCCATTTATGATATTAATGTATAATATACATTACAGCAAATAAAAGGTGCAACATTTCCTCATTTGTATTCAAAATGCAAATGTTTTATTTTAACTTAAGTAACAAAGTTTTCAGCAAATTAACAAAATTTTTCAGAGCTAAAAAGCACTTCTCTAATTTAAGTGATAGTATTAAAACATATGTTTCTGATTATATCATTCCGACATTGATTCAGCAGTGCTAATTTTTCTTTATCTTTTGGAACTGACCGATGTAGCCATCGTGGATGTCTCCATATTTTCCGACGTATGCTGGAATTGTTGTGGATATTTATTAAGAAAACAATGAAAATAAAGACATAAAGTCTAAAAAGTTCATAGGTTAATTTATTCATATCCAACTCAATAATGCAACAAAATTGGTCTTATTATTAAAGGAGGGTAATTGAAAACTGCGAATAAATAAGCAATTTAAGTATACATTTGATTAAATGCATTAAAATTCATGAATTATCAAGGGTAAAAGATAAAATTATGCCAATCAATCAATTACTCTTAATCAGGTCAAAGGTGCTTATGATTTTTACTATGGTATTAAGTGTTTAGCATGACAGTTTTGGTCTCATATACTGCCCAAATTCATGAAATTGCTTTTATTAATTCTGTTATCAAGCATGAAGAGTCCTTATTATTCCATTGAGATACAAAAATAGATTAAAAATGTGATTCTATCATTAGCATAGTAAAAACAACAACAGTAAAATAAATGTTTCCATTAAATACCAAAACTTTGGAAGCTGATGTGAAAAGTTTGTTATTGCTTGGGGTGAAAGTTCAAATTTAACCGGAATAATCGAAGTGATAGCAGCAAAAATGCTACGTAAAATATTAAAACCAAAGTCGACGGAGTAAGCAGCAACAATGTAAAATATTCCGCTTTTGCCATCATTGTAAGCATTTAAAGTTGCAATCATATTATCAGCTTGATTATTGATATCATTGCACATATCAGAAAGTTTTTCCACTCTCTCCTTCATATCCATTAATATCTAAAATTCATTTATTTCTTTATTATTAATACATTTTATGCAGTTTATTCGAGAATTTAAGTTCTGATCACAATAATGTAAATTTTGTTCAAAAATCAATTTGAACAAAATTTGCATTATTGTGAACAATATAATTGTATAGTTATGTTTATTTATTTGCATATAATATCGTAAGTTGATGACGTGTGAGTTGTATGCAGTAATGAAATATAAAATTATACAAAATAAATATTAAAATTTCGTTTATTCTACGCAGCTGTTATTTTTTAAATTTTAAGTGACAGATTTTGAACGGTAATATTTTACTTATAATAGTAATACTTCAATTTTTCTTTCCGTGAGAATCATATTTTAGCATAATAGTTTTTTCAATTTTTTATTCAAAATTAATTGTTTTATTTTCAGATATTCTAGACTAAATTTTTCACTTTAATTTTTGTGTTGATACTTTTGTCAGAACCAAATTTAGCAATAGTATCAAAAATATTGATGTGCAAGAACTAATTTAATCATACTCACTTGATTCTGAAGAAGCTCTTCTTTTTCGATTTTTTCTCGACATGCTTGTGCTTCACCGCGGTAATCATCCATTGCTTCATCTAGCTGTTTCTTCATAAGCTTCAATGAACTATATGTTATGTAATAAGAATCTGCTTATTTATTACTTGTGATATTTGTTCATTACCAGAGAGTAATATCTCAAATCTGATCTGAATTTAACATTTTAAAATTGCATTATTAAAATTTTGCAAGGCTTCAAAAAAGTCCTCCGAATACATTACTTTTATTTCTTTCGCATTTTCGACAATATATTTGAGTATTTTAGTAAATACGAATAAATATCAAAAAATTGAAAGTATAAATCGTGAAATGATTGATTGCTGTGCTAATATTTACCTCGATTTTAGCAATAATTTGATTTTTTGTTTTCAAAAGTTGCTGTTCACATTTTTTAGCTTTTTCATTTTCGTCCACTAATACTTTTAATCGGCTGCAATTATGAAAAAGTCTTTGCAGACTTCTATAAATTAAAATTAATGCGCATTTTCAACCGAATGCAAGAAGAATTAGGCAAAACAAATTATATTTAACATTTTACAAGCAATTTTTATTGAAATTAATGGCGGGAAATACTTATTATTATTAAAAAGACCATAATTGTACCTGAAACACTGAATATATTCCAAAAATACTTGATTATGCATGAATTTATTGCTGTTTTATGAGTTTTGTACGAAAAAATCTGCTTTTGGGACAAAATTTTGTAAGTGAAAAGAATTTACTGATAACCGATTCAGTGATAGTAGCTGTTGCTCAATGAATTGATCAGTAAATTTGTCGGTTTCAGCAACATTTTCAACTTTAATTATTATATTTAAAGCAACGAAATAAATTGTAATTAATTTCAAACAACAGGTATACGTGTTAAGTATTTAATCAAATATCGTTTTTATAAATCATTAATGGAAAATTTCGGTTATGATATAACACGCTAGTCAAATTTTAATTAACCTTTAAAATAAATTAGTACTTAAGTTAGGTCCGCGTCAACTGACGTTTTGGTACTAGTCTTACTTTCAAACAATCAGGTCAGCAAGAACACCTTTCATTATTTGATCGCTTGCTGTGTGTGATTGCTGATCAAATAACATTGAATCAGTGCGAGTCACGCGAGATGGCGATGCTCGAGCTGTTTCTTCAGATGATGACTTCTGATCGTTCCTAATTGCTAAAAATGTGCTAGAGATGAAATTTTTGAACTGATTCATTATGGATTTCGAAAATGAAATCAAAATTTCACCCTACCAATACGGTTAAATAAGATATAAAAACGTTCAAGCATAATTCTAATTACGTTAATTTCTATTTATAGCATTGATGATGATGACATTTATGTATAAGTATTCTTGATAGATGTTGGCAACACTGGTCAGGACAAACTGTCCCGCGCTTGGATCTGTTGTGTTGATCTCCGTGCTTCAATCTCGTGGAATGCAAAGCCATAATTGAATGAGATGCCTTCGAGTGTCTTCTTCAGCATCACTGCATCGATATATGCCTCGACATGGTCAGATATCCTGATCTCCGTCGCTTAGCGTTTACGAAACTTCGTTACCATCCCATCCCATCACATACGGAATTATTTCGTCCTGTATTTCTTTTCTAACCCAAATTTACAAACGAGTACGTCACACTTTCGTCTTTTCTTGGTCTCGACTGCAATCAATCTGTCCTGACCAGTGCTGCCAACCTCTATCAGGAGTACTTATATATTATATTTCAATATAAGATTGAATAGTATTCAGATATATATTTCATACAATTCAATCTTAAGTCGAATTAGCATTTGAACAATTCACTGGTAGTTTGCATCGTTAAGTCATTGCGTTTCTGCTAGATTGAGTGATACTATTATTTAAACTTTTATAATTTTTGCTGTTTATGCCATTCTACCTGCGCCATTATTTGTCGCCTCAGCGCTTCGTGACAATGCCGTATTTGTCACATCTCCCAAACGAGACACGTCCAGCGTGCGTGACGCATCAGTATCACGTGAAAACTCATCTGTGCCTTTTTGAGTTCCTTCTCCAAAATTTTTAGCAAAATCTTTGCTAAGTAATGCTTCTGTATTTCGTGAAAACTTGTTGTAACTTCCTTGTACTTTTCGTTTGGTATTCATGTCATTGTAAACACTAGCACTTGTTGAATTAGTGCCATACTGTACATCATCTGCATTTATATATCTAACTTTGTGACGTTTAGCTTCATTAATGTTAGCAATATCTACGCCATGTGGTACATCTAGAGCATGTATCGTGCCAGTACTTTTAGTTTTGCCTGTTTTTATATCAACATTTCGGGAAACATTTCTCTTGCTTAATTTGTGAATACGATCTTTTAATTTTTTTATTGCTTGCATTGGTTTTTTAAGGCGCCTGAAATAGTGCATTAGTTTACAGATATTAACAAAAAACAAGCAAACTGAACTGTAAGATGAGTAAATGAGTAGAAAAAAAACTGAATATGGGCAATGCTTGTAATACATTGTGAGTTGAAATTGATAAAATTTGAAATACATACACATCGTATTTACCAGATTTTCCAGCTTTGAGATTATTTCCTGATGAGGACATCTAAAATTCATCAGTTTTTGCAGTTTACTACATCAAACAAATATTAAAGTATTTCGCTTTTTAGAGTTTAAGATTGAAGAATGCTACATGAACATTAAATGTGTACATGCGAAACTGAGCCAAAGTTCCCGCAAACGTTTTCTTACACAACTTGTACTAAATATAATGACTCAAGACGCTCAATATATCTTAGTACATTGGGTGTCATTTTCAATTCCATACTCATGAATATGGTAATTTTTTTGAAATCTTGGATATTTGCATTAGTATTATTTTGTATACGTGGCGTAAAGACAAATAGTTACACATTCAGCTTTAAATGATCAGATATCTTTGATAAAACAATTAATGTGAGCTGACTAATAAGTGAATAAAAATCCTCATGTTCAGAGCAGAATACTATCTGAATTTCAAGTTTTACTACGCCGTATTTCTTACGAAAAGAGTAGTTTTGGGAACTTATATAGTATTCTATCTTTTCTAATTTTTGCAGTGGTACCTATTAAATACTGAAGGTCTAGTTTTCTTATCTCTGAGAGAATATATTTCATGTAACTTGTAAATTAAATTAGAAAAATTAAAATAGTAGACAATCTTGTGATAGATTTTCCGAATTTTTGTTTTGTTATTTGCATTAATTTCCATATTTACCCCAGAAATCATCAATAACTAATATAGGCAAAAAAACTGAGTCACAACCATATATATGATTGTGATTCTTTGACTTTACAGATCCGATCCTATAACAATTAGACTTATTAATAATGAATACCTGAAGAAAAAGTATTACAAGGCTCATAACAGCACTGAGAAATACAAATATAAAACAAATGCTTCTCTGAAGACATCATTAATCACAATTATCGTCGTCATCAACTTCTTCAGGATAGCGATCTTTTACCTAAATAGTGTGGCCTTTCACTAATAATAAACAGGTGAATAATGAAAAAGTATTTAAGGGAATTTTTTAGGATGATGATGATTTTCAGTTCTTGACAACTTCCAATTTTAAAAACTCTCATGCCTTTTTTTGATTATAAGAAATGTAATTAGAATAAAGTCGAACATGAAAACACTCATGCAGAAATCTGATCTTGGTTTTTTACCTGTGAATCAAAGGATATAAAAAAAAATACAACTAACCTCTGAATTTTCGCCATGCTGTATAGTATTATCTATAATAGCTAAAAGATCACTGATCGATTCTTCGTCTTCAATGTCTAGAGGACTAAAACGTACCTGAAACACTTTCTAAACAAAAATGCCTTCATGGTAAAAAAAATAATGCCGTGCAAAATTTCAATAGCGATTTATTCACAAATGACCTAAATGGAGTTCGTAATGATATACCAAAATAAAACCAAGGATCTATCAACATTAATCAAATATACTAAAATAAGTAATTACAAGGCTGTAGTCATCTAAAACATCAGCTATTGTCTGAGAAAGTTCGCGATATTTTTCATTCCAAGGCGATGCCTCTTCATTTCTCAGAATGCTTCGTGCGTCAGACTCTAGGAAAGTTTCTAGCAGTTCTTTGTTACGCTCAGAAAGCAAATCGACTTTTGAAAGCACATTTACTGCAGGTACCTTTAAAATAAAAACAATGGCTTCAGATTAGAAATCTATTGAGTAACTTCTCTGACATTAATATAATTCCAGAGACATGCTATTAAAAATAAATTATTGGAATATTTATTAACAGATATACTAAATTTCAGTCGGTATTATCTCAAAGGAGTCATATATTACAAAATATTTTATTGAAAGATTATTAGAGAGAACACAATATCTACTAATGTAAATTTTGCCACGAAAAACTCACCTCTAGTGTAATCATAGTAGAAAGCGTGGTTAAGACTCCACCTAAAAATTTATCACAATCCAAAACAAACTGAGTATCAAGTAAGAACACAGAACATATATTAAAGTCCCATGACTTCAATGCATTCACGATTTGGCGCATTACTGGCAAATGACTATATAGTTCAATTTGGCCTAAAAACGAAATAACATGAAACAAATTTGTACTTTAAAAATAAATAAGCGAACTTGATGGACGAAATCATACTTTCTACGCCTTATATAAAGATTGAGAAACAAAGCGTGACCGATACTTTAAGATTTTAACAACTTTGCGAAATTAAAACACGTAAAAAAAGGTCGATCAACCTGGACAGTCAAAAATAAAATAATCATCTTCGCCTTCATTTAACTGATCATGAAGCCAGTCTAAATTCTGCACTAAATATTCCATGCAAAATACTAAAGCACCGTTTGGACCAAGTAATAATTGCTTATCCTCTTGTACATCGTCCACGCTGATAAGATCTCGCACATCTGAAAACTAATTAACAGTGTAGTTCTGTTGTGCGTAGTCTATAAAAAACCAAAGTTTAGCTGCTTTGATTTCGAAAAAATTTAATGTAAACACTGACTGCAGAAAATCTGAAAATTAAAACTCTTTTAAGACAGGGGCAAGAAAATTGCAAAAAGTCATTAAAAGGAAAACTGAAATTACGTTATTTATTCCATCTTCAAAATTTATATGACAAACCAACAACTGCAGTGTAGTTGAATTTCTCAGCAGCAGGATCCAAATTAACAAAAAAAACGCACCGTCCGGTTGATGAACAATGCTGCTGTAGAATGGAACAATACGTTGACTGCAAACATTTTTAAATTAAAAAATATATTTCAAATAATCTCACCTCATACTTTAGCTCGTACAAGTAGTTCTCTGAACTCCATTAAGGACTCAAACACCGATATATTGCCCAAATCCAGTAGCAAAAATCATTATGCGTTCGCTAGTTCAAAAATAAAGAAACTAAATGATATTTGACAATTAAATAATCTCAACAAAAATAAACCAACTTTGCCACTTCCTGCAGGACCAACAACTAACTGCGCGTATTTCATGATAATCTGCTTATCAGTGTTACAATACTCTAAAGAAGACAATACTCGAATTAAATTGAGAAGTCATGACATAAAGCTAAAGTTTCTCTGCACAGCAGACGATGAAAATATATGAATCGAGAAAACGAATTTTTATAAGGTACAAAAATGATGATAATACATTTATTAACTTTCAAGCAATTCTTGAACATAACTATAAAGACGAGTACTATTATCACAGAATAACCGGAAATCCAGTAGCATATAATCCAGAAATTCTTCTGTGCAATTCCTGCAATAGATTCATTAGCTGGACCAAAAAATATAAATGAAGGTGAGCATTTCATGATGAATCTTCAGTCAAAATCAATTAGATCGAAGTAACAAATTTTAGAGAGACTGATATGATTTAATATAAGCTGTGTTACCAAAGAGTAGATGAGAAAAATTACAAATGACTTCGATATCTATGACTTAGCATATGGTTCCAAGACCACAGGAATACTTGTTGCGCTTCATCGTACATAAGAAACATACCACCCGTAAGATGAACATATTGAGGCACATAATGTACAGAGCATCCCATTTCAACGAAACCAAAAGCAGTTACTACAGTAGAAATAACTCGCCAGAGCTAGAAATTACCGTTTTCAAAAGTTAAAAACTTATGCATCTGAATACTAAAAATTTTGTGCATTAAATTCCAGTCAAAACAAGTAAAAGATAGATCCATATCATTCATAATAATGAATTAACATTCTTCTGTACTTGAGGATAGTTACATTAAATGAGATACGAAAAACTAAAACCGTAGCTATAAAAACTCCATAAATAATAAACTCATATTTAAGTAAAGGTCATTACATCATTCGATGAGATCTCGGTGATTTTAAAAGGTATCATAATAGGACGGCGAAAAGGAGCTGAAAGTGGATTCATAGCAAGTGGGAATGGATCGTCCGGTATAGGAAACATATGAAATGACAGACTGGTTGCTTTGCTACACCAATAACGCGCAGTTTCTGACACTGTTTGACTGTTTGCCATGAACCACCGCACACCAATTTCAAAAGATTTCGCTGCACAAAATGTTCTTTCATAAGCAAACTAAAACAATATGATGAAAAAAAAGATTGATAGCCATCCTTATTCAAATAAATCTGATACTTTTCAATAACCATGAAAACTGCAAATATTTACAAAAATATGTAAATGCCCATATATTACAGTTTCGACCTGTGTTGCTGGAAAAAAAGGATGAAAAAAAAGAAGATCCAAAAATGAGAACTAACATACTTTACCCCACTCTGTCAGTCTAGGCATATGTGATGGAAGATATTCACGTCCAGCTGCATCAGATGGTTTTTGTAACTGCGCAAAAAACTTCATCTCTACAGAATTTAGCTTGTGAGCACAACTGCTTAACTTAAGACCAGAGCACCTAAAATTTGAAAAGTTTTTCCAAATTATTTCACCAGTGCATGGTAAAAAGAAATTGACTCACTTTTGACCAATCTCACACTGAACTGCTCGTGAAAACGCTTCTTTTTCTTCTACTTTTTCATCCGCAATGTTTTTATTGACAATGTAACACAAAAAAAAACCGTAACGAAACTCGTGCCCATAACTATCAGTTGACATAGAAGACTCAAGGTCATCGACTACAGTTTCAGCTGAAACAATGTGTCAGAATCAAGCATACTTACGCTATTAAAATACATAGTTGAAAAATCTTCAAACTACGCATTTTAAACTTGAAGAATAGTTAATCTGCTGGAAAACGATAAAAGAGTGAGAATTAACATTTCCTCATTACTACACTGAAAATTAATGTTTCCAAAATTGATTTTACTAATATGAAAAGGCGACATGTAAAATAAATATCAATCACTAACTCGGTCGTAACATTCGTATTTTTCCGGCAGCCATTAAGCTACCAGCAAATTCAATAGCAGCTTGCCGATTCGAAAGTTCACAGACATTGTTCACCAGCCAAGCAACAAATTCTATAGTAAGAAACATGTAAGGTGGAAATCGGTTAGAGGAATCTTGAGAATAAAGCGGTGAATAGTTCTCACGCCAACCATTCAACAAATCATCGACGTTTTCTATAGTGTATATTCGACTTTCAGCATCATTTGCTAAAGTCACTAGTCTGAAAGTTATGTTTCTGTTGCTAATTTTTTAAAGATTTATCCTTCTTCAATTAAAAGTCACTACTACATGGTATATAACTAATAAATTTAAGAAAATGTGAATCAACACCAAAATTTTTCAGTGGTAATAAAATGATAGAAACTTCAGCACCTTTTCTGCCTTGATAAAGGTTTTCGTCGAAAGCGATTCAAAACTTCTACAAACTTCAAAAACCCATCTTCCTGTCTTTTATAGAACGATGAATCATGAAGACCCATATATTTATCGCCACCATTTCTTTCCGAAATTATCGCTTTTGTTATACTGCTGCATAGTGGTGTCAACAGAAACCTGAAAACAGCATGAATAATTACTCGTCGAAATTATTACGAAAACTCCATACTAAAACTGACATTTGAAACAAGTTTTCACCTTATCAAAAAAGTGGAAAAAATTATTAACATATATGTTATTAGCTGCAATGCAAGAATTCAAAAATTTCCAAATTACATTTATAAAACATGTTTACCTTGCTGCAAAACATTTAAGATCATCTTTAAAGAGCCGAGGCACATAACGATTTTGTATTTGAGTATCAAGAAGACTCCAATTCAAATTTGACAGATCATATTTTTGAAATCTGAAAAAATTTTTTGCTTGATTCTTTTACTTTACTAAATTTAACACAAGATCCAAACGAAAGTATTTATTTATTATTCTTCAATCAATACACAGCGCACAACCAAGTACACGTCTCATTCTGGCGATGACTACACAAACAAATACTCCTTTTAATCGCTGAAATAAATAGAATTTTCATCCCTGGAGTAATTCTTCAAATAAAACCAAATTTATGCTTCGACCAATATTCATTCTAAGTCATTCAAGCAATAAAAGCAACAGCGAAATAGTCCCAGAAAAGTATTTGAATGAAAAGTCTTTTACTGCGTGATATATAGTAAGAATTGTCCTTAAATGAAAAAACCTTGTACTGCATGGTTCATAATAAGAATTGTCCGGCACTTGTAACATGTAAGTATATTCTCTTCGTTTGGCTAATTCTGGTGTTTCCTTAAATTCTCCAAGTCTTGGAAGGAATTGGATGACAGTTATTCCATCACCCTCCATATAAAGTCGATGATAAATGCGACCAAATGATAAGAAGCATTCTCTGGAGACTAATTTTGTGTTTTCCATCCTTTCTGATTGTTCTTCCTAAACATAAATAGCATATACCCAATAATATATGACCATATTTTTTCTGAAACAATAATTACTTGCAAAATGTCGTAAGATTGAGCATTATAAAGTTTAGTTATAAATTTCAATCTCAACATTCTTGAAAATTCATTTGCATTCAACACATGAATTTTCAGGAATTATTAAAAACCTACACTGATTCCAATTGCTGCATGCATCACTTTTTTTCTTAAAAGAATTATCTGAAAACCGCGTTGCAACCTTTGACAAACAAGCTGATCAAAGACGAGATTCCGAAAAAGCTCCAAATCTTCAGGCACTGAATATGCTAGCCATTCACGGACCGCATCGAAATATACTGGAAGCTGATGAGCCTAAATGAATTAACTCTTGATTTCAAGAGAGAAATTCAGAATGAATATTAGCAAGTAACTGAAAAATCTGTCAAATATCCAGATATTAATTCCATAATTTTTGTGATATATATGAATCATATTAAACGTCTACTCAGTATGTTTAAGAAAAGTAGATGAGCAATATGATTGAGGCACTAAAAAATAAAAACAAATTACTTTGACCATATAATCTTTACTAATGCTCCGTTCATCAGGGAAAAAATCAGTAGTTAAAGGAAGGAGAGCAGTACGAATCAGAGATTTCCAATCAACCCCAATTTCCGTATCCGGATTCCATTTTTCCTCACCCGTTGAACCCCATGCCCAAACGCATTTCTTACCACCTGCTCCAACTCCTGTCACTCTAAAAACATTAAATAATTTGCAATAATCTTTCAAAATTAAATACACACAAAAGTCACCGACTTATTTTGCAAGTTACTGACAGAAAAATATGCTTTCAGACATCATAAATCTTCAATCACAAAAATCTTTTTCTAAACGTTTTCATGAGAAAGAGTATTAAATCATGCATACTAACCTGTTGCTACCAATTTCTTCCGAAAACAGAGGAGAAGGCGACCTACGTGAAGGAGAGATAGTAATAGTACGCATTGGTGGAGATGATAATTCACTCGGTTCCATTTCGTCTCTTTGAATTACGTTAACAATACTTTTTCCTGCTACATAGTGATGAGCAAGCTTTGCTCGACCAAGTTTATCTACAGGAAAAACATGGATCCATCGTCGTCGATTTGCGGTTATTCGTACTAAAAATACAACCGTAAAGATATAAAGAATAAAAAATATGAAAAAAAAATCATAATTTTGCATAATTTGAGACATTTGATTTAACAAAATCGTATGGTTCCTACCACTTATCGTCGATTGCTAAGCCAGTGATGCCAAAAAATTAAAAATATTGAAAAGTGACGGTACCAAAACAAAATATTAGCAAAGTTATTCTGAACTATGAGTTGATAACTACAGATAAGAAAAAGATAACTTAAAATATATGAGTCCCAACTAAATTCTATTTTACTTCAAACTCAAAAAAAATCACTGACCGCTGAATTCTTCTGGTTTAAAAGGGTTGATCAAAGGACGTCCTTCAAAAACTGACAAAATGTTTTGTGAGTGGACATGCCGAATGTTTTCTGATTCCAATGAACCTACACGTAAATCGGACTTGGAAAGACGCATGTCGGTGTTTTTCGCTGCAACACTTCGCCATGTTTCTTCTGTTCTACGACGTAATTTCTAATAATTTTTATTCTTAGAAACACTACTAGTAATATGAAAAAAAATCTAAGCAATAAAATCAGTTTTATTTCACCTTATTCACAAAATAAAATTACATTTTTAATGTTAATAGCAACAATAAAACTGTTTTAATCCATTATTAAAAACTTTTCATTTCTTCAAATGACCTTCGTTTTTTTAAAACTTTAAAGTTATAGTTATTCTTAAAGATATATAACAAAACACAAACATAACAAATACAAACATAATTTGCAATTAATTCATGCGTTTTACAGATGAAGTTATTCAAAAAAAAAGAAACATACGTGCACAGGGTCATCACGACTACAATCGCTTTTCAATAAAAGCTCTTTTGCGATTTCATTAGGCAGATTAACACTGCTTGCTAGAGCATTGTTTTCAAGAAGAGAGGAAAATGCTTCTTCATCCGCAGCATCCATATCGTTAACGGGTAAATCTGTTTCCATGACAAGACCTGTAGATGTGTCCTGTAAAATAAATGGACATTTTTGAATATTATCAACAACTTCTTTGTTCTTGGTGATAGAAAAATTAACAAAACCCGAAGTAGATCATCTGGAAGATTAATTCGTGGTTTGAACTTGACTGATATTGCAGAACGTCGGCTCATCTGATAGTACGAATAGTTCATCCAGTGAGGAATAAAATAATCTTCAGAGAGACAAGTACTGTCTGTTCTTAAATGACCAATATCATTAGTAAAAAAAAGCATCATTTTCACTTAATTAAAAGTTTGCTAAATTTTAGTTTCGAACAAAATCAAAACATATAAATAAATATGAAGAAAAACTAATTCATCAGTAGAAATAGACAAAGAAAAAAACAAATTAGAAACTACGTTAAACAAAAAAGGGGAATCATCATAAATAAATGAACCTTTGCAAGACAAATAAAGGCACAGCGTGAAGAGGTTGTTCACCAAGCAGCACAAGATCAAGAGATATACCCATATCAATAAGGCGCTGCTTTGTCATATTAATCAAATTTCGATCAACATTGAAAATCCCACCACCTGCGCTTACAAAAACAATCTGGAAGATAATTTCATGAAAACAAAGTCAGTAAACAAAGAAAGGAAGATATTCCTAAAGCAAAGATTCAAATGGAAAAATCATAACTGACATGCGGTTTATTCAAATTTTCATTTAAAATTAAATTTGATTATTTCAAATCAAAAGTTCATATAGTAGACTTCATTTCATCAATGTAGCTTATCAAATAAAAATTTATTGACAGGATATATGAGACCAACTTTTCAGAACGAACAATGAACGCAATATGAACAAACCTGCTGTCCCACTGTTTCAAATCTACGATTTGTATAGTAATCACTTAATTCGTCCATTGATAAATTTAAAACCTGCAGAAAATTTCCATCCGCAGCAGTTGAGAGCGTAACAAGCTTTTTTTCCCTCAGATCTACCTAGATTACGCCGATATTAGAACAAAACACAAAGCATTAAGTCGAGTAAATTACTGTAAAAAATACAACATCAAAGTTCTAAATTTTTACTCAACACTTTTAAAACCAACATTTAATTGACTGCTGATAAATTCCTCCACCGAATTCTGATATGTGCTGAAGACATGCCGTAGCTGTAAAAAAAGAAATTTTGGAAAAGTTCAAATTTTAACTATCCACACAAAATCAAACCTTTGATAAAACAGTAAGCTTCCAATCATCGTAATGTTCATTTTGCACTAATATTCGATAGAAATCCTGCAAAATATCCCTCCAATTAACTTTTCCTTAAATAACGAAATGGATAGAATTTTGGATCGAGAATTCAGTGTAAATCATTGAAAAAAATACGACAAACTTCATAATATCTCCCTCTGTAATCGATACACAATTTTTTTTTCATTTCTTCACTTATAAACTCTTCTTTGAAATACCATCTGAAAACAAATCTGATTACTAGGAACAAGATCTTCATTAGCGTACAAAAGTCAACTCGGAGTATCTGATGGAATAAGATTGCTGCATGTTTTACTTGCTATTATACAATATTTTACAAAAAATTAATCAAATTCATTGTTAAACAGAGCAATCAACAATGAATTTTATCATTTATTTGAATTTGCGAACTTTTGCTCATTATCAATATAAAATAAACCCCGTTAACCTCGAAATAACAATAAAGGTGATTAAATGTGCACAGTGCTGTTCATTCCACAGGTCGAACAGTTGAGGAAGAAATCCATTGACACATTTTTCAAAATAAAGATCACCATAAGGATCAAAGTCCCACATTTCCGAACTCATTTGAATATATATCAACATCTAAATGATTTTCCAATCTTTTAAGAATAAACATTATCGTGGTTGAGAAACAATAATAAAGAAACATCAGAAACCATAAATCATACATATTAATCTCATACCATAGCACTTCCAGAACGAAACACAATACGAGTATCTTTTGAAACGTATCCACTTTTTACCTGAAGATATCAAGTGTCGTGCTGACGGAGCATGAGATTAATTTCATTTTTTTTATGTTTAAGGTATTCTGCATTCTTATGTTTTAGTTGAATAAAAGTTCGAACCGAACATATATCAAATTATTTTATTAGCTATTTTTTTAAAACCATTTTCAGTTCCCACTAGTAAAGTAATGTGAATATTACATGATACTAATTACCTGAAAAACAAATCGACTTCGATTATCTATATTGCATTCAGATGGTTTAGATTCTTTGATTGCAATTTTCATTTATAATAAAAATTAAGTAGAAAATTCAGTTGAAAATACCATTTCTCCTTTAGCCCAAAGGTTGACTACAGTAGAAGGAATAAGTAACCACTCTATCTTTTTGCCTATATAAACACAGATATTAATAAGGCACATTCGGTAACGCCACATATCGGATCTACTAATATAGCGTTCTTTGACAGCAATTTCGATGTGATCCAATACTACCTGCATCAATTAAAATATTCGTTTAATATATTAATCAACAATTTGAGAAAATATTCAAGTTTTCAGAAATCTTTTAGAGGAAAACGCTAACTTGATTCAAAGACTTATTTTTTATTCAAAATGATGGTGAGTACTAGAGAACTAAAAAATACATTTTTTTTTGTACTGAGTGAGAGATTATTGAAAATGTTTCTTAATGCATTTTTTTACTAACTCATGTGAGCATCAAATTAAACTTCCTATCCCAAACAACTCACATCACTTCTATTTGCGATTCTCACTGTGACATACTGATTTTGCGATAGCGAAAACGTGTCAGCAATAGTTTTCTCAATATAAATGCGTTTTTCTCTATAAATCCCACTTTCGACATCTTCGTGCAAATGCTGCACATAAAACTGTTGTTCAGATGAAGCAGTAATTTCCAAAACATCGCCCAACTGCAGTCCAGGAATATTTTTACTACTCTAAAAACCATGTTTTGAGCAGAATAAAACTCTAGCAGAAAATGTACAAAAAGAAGAAAGTAATTACATATAAGAACAGTCATAAGAACGGTAGATAAACTTTTCCAAATTTATTTAGAATAAAAGTTAAGTAGAGAACGCAACATAGTTACGACATATGAAAAATGCAAACAAGAGTAGAACTAAAATGTGACAGGACTTCTTCAACAAAAGATTTATTCAGATTCAAAATATCTGCGAACATAAATGCTCAAATTCAAAGTATCTGCTCATATAGATCTTGAAAAAATGGTAATCTTATCAATAAAACTGATGGAGTTAGGACTAAGGATTTACTTACGGCAATTAGAAAAAAATTAATTATAAAAGTAAGATGAAACTATATGGGGAATGTCAATGTCTATTCCATACCACATATTTGCATCAAACTCACAAATAACAGAATATAAATTCACCAAAATCACGTCACACTGCGCTCCACTGCATTTTTTATCACCTTTTTTGCACAGATATACGCGAAACATAATTCACTGTCTCAAATCTTTCTTCTGTTTCAAAAGAACCTCACTATCCTGAAAAAAATTGATATACTGCTCACATCATACAAATAAATGAGCTCAACTTGTCACACCATGCTTTGTACAAAATCCGTAACACCAAAATCTACAATAACAAACACTTCTAACAATATATTCATCTCGTATATTTCAAATCATAGCATATAGGCGAATGAGGATAAACTGACCAAATGTTGTGAGAACAGATCTACTACGCCAATAGACCTAGCCTAACCCCAGTCCCACCAGAATCTACTACAACGAAAGTCATGTGCGAGCTTTATCTACTATGCTAGTTTCAAAAACTCAAACTACTGATCACAATATTTATTGGTCTGAAACGAAAGAAGAATATAATTCAAAAAAGAATCACAAAATATAGCAGAATAAATGATAACAGTCAACGATTTTTGGGCTGATACTTTAGAATAAGTTACAATATCCAACATAAATCAAATAATTTCTCAAGCATTATCTCTTCAACTCCGCCAGTTTGAGAAAATACATAACAGATATAAAACATTTATTCCACAAAAGATCCTATAAATCAAAATTTCAAAATGCTGACATCTGCATTTCCCATACAAAAAATGATTATTTAATCTGTAATAGAGACCAGGATGATCAAAAAGTTTTAACTTCAACTGACTTGATTTTATCAAGCCATTTGATCAGTGAAATGTTTTTGCAAATATTAAGGAAGACAAACACACCTTTCAATTAACAATTAAAAAAATGTTTCACACTAAAGAATATAATCAAGTTCATATCTCAAGAAATTGTTTCGATCAGTATTGGGAACACGAGGGTATCCAGCAACCAAAGCATCTTGAGATCCCAATATTAAATTATTGAAAACCTGAAAATTACATATTAACTGACAGAAGCTGCAATTAGAGATACTAAACGTGTTGAATAACAGTTTATTAGAAAAATTTTTAACAGTTGGAAATCTAAATGATTAATCCTCGCTTATTATGATTTAAAGATTGAAATATATCAAAACCAACCTTCCAAATTGGTTCACGAACTTTTCTTGCTGGATGCCAGAGCGCTTGAAGACAGTACTGGAGGACTTTTATAGGACCAAGAGACACACGCATAGCATCACATGCAAACACAAACCTACAACACTGCAGAGTTAAAACTCATAAAAGATAATAAAATGCATTGCAAAATGTAATGCCAACAAGTACCGCTGTATCACGTGAGGTGAATTTTCAAGCATATTTGGCCAAACATAATTGAATATATGAATTAAAGCATCCTCACATCCAAAACCATATACTCCCAAAGTTAAATGTGCAACAGCATCCATTGCTATCTGCCGATGTACAATATCTCTAAAAAGTGTGATAACATATAATACAACAAGCGGCACCTCGGCACTCTAATAAAAGCACTTTGAACTTGTGCACATTGCATTTATTATTAAAATATTGATACTTTTCAAAATTTTCTAATATTTGCGACTTGCAGTAATGTATTGAAACTATTACACAAACGAAAAACAATATATTGTACGGAAAAATACTAGCTTTAAAATATAATAATTTCATTAAAGAAACCTTATGTATCATTCGAGAACAAATTTATAAATCTTTCAAACATTTAACCTTTCCATCAGCGCATCTACTAGAAGTGGAGTAACTGCATATATATAATCTTTGGCCATTTCTCCGATGTACTAAAATCTTATCCAATGTTATCAATAATATGAAACTATGAAGTGACAAACACTTCAGAAAGACTTGAAACAATGTATATCTTTTAGTTTTCAAATGTTACAATACTGCTGCCAAACACCATCTTTAATCTTATAGGCAATATTTATAGAAAATAAAGAGAAAATTTAATAATTAAAATCATAGATAAGTTAATTATATACTCCAATTAACAAACAAAAGAAACCTCGAACATAAAAGAAAGTGCCTTGAGAACACCATTCTGAACGTTAATTTCTGGCACTCGATATTCATTCATGATCGCTGGTAAAACTGTAAAAGGTGCGCAAGTTTCTGCTACTATAGCGACTGCCACTGTTGTACACACACGAAGCTGACGCTCCTGCACCTTGAGATTATTAAGCAAAGTCGCCAACACATCATGAGGACCAATTGCCTGAAGTATGCATAAATTAATAATAGCATTATTTATAGAACGAAAGTAAATTGGTATTGAATTATACGAGAAATAATTCGCATTCTTCATTACATGTAGCCAGCTTCTGGACTAAATATGAGACTGAGCTTAGTGAAAATGAAATGCTGATTGTTAAACATTGCTACTCAACTTTAATAAAAGCAAACTTACGGTGGGAAGTCTATTAATACTTTGCAAATTAAAGCAAACTTAAAATTCAAAAATCGAGCTATCTGAAATGAAACTAAATTTTTGCTTAAAATTTTTCTAGTAATTTTTAGTATTCCTTTTTTATAAAAATTCGCACGGATCTCAATACGGCCACTGGAACATGTGCTGTGCATCCACGTTCGGCTCAATTTCCACTGTCTCATTTGCACAGTAAACTAAAATTTCAACTTGAAATTGCTATGATTTTTCTCGTCAAAACATTCGCTAATCTGAACGATGAAAGACTGCAGTTCAAATTTTATACAACAGTACAAAGTCATATTTTGCATCACAAATCGGCGAGCCCCTATCCTCCATGATAACGTTTCTTATCCTTTACAGTTCACGATTTTCTTTGGACATCTTCACAGCGGTTTTTTCATTTCACAACATTTGAGAACGATTACTATTAGTTACCCGTGAATCAAATAAACCTCCCTCTTCAACAAAATGATCATTGTGTCCAATATCTAACAACTTCCAGAATTTGACAATCCAAAGCAACTGTTCTGACTATATGCATACTGCTTATGAACCAATTAAGAAATAAACAAACTCATTACTTACCTCGGTGCACGCCGCTCGCAGTACCAACGATCTCCATCAGTGGGCCCTAAATTAAAGATAGCGGAGGCGAGAAACCTAAACTTCCTTTCGTAGGACAATAAAGCCATTTTCAACATAATAATTTTCTGAATAAACAAAAGAATGAGGGACATACTTCCAAGGTGTAACCTACCAAAAATGCGACAAGTTTAACGAGTTTCGTGCACCATATTGACGAAAAATAAGATATTTATTCTTGAATAAAAACTAAACCTAACCTTCGCTATATATCCAAAAGTGTTGATAGCGGCACGACGTATTGATTTTTTATGAGCTTTCAGCAATTCTAATAGTTCAAAGCAAATACGCATCCATTCACGAGCAGAAACAAACTCACTTCCACGATCAGCAATGCGACCAACCAAATCAATGCAGTTCTCTTGTACTTTTTCATGCCTGCAAATTTTTGAAACCGATATTTCTATCCCCAGCGAAGTTTATGTGTCTGTGTTCTAAATTATCTTAAACAATGAACAAAATCTCCTTATTTCCATCACTTACGATAGAAAAAAATACAACGACATTAAAAATGTATTTACTACATCGTACAAGAATTAGTAACGCATTTATAATAGAGTGAAAGAATAACTCTAAAAGAATCATCATGAATAAACCCTAGAAGTGCTTCAAAACAAAGATTTAGTTATGTAATCTAAAAAAGAACTTATAAGCCGTACCTATTCTTTAAAATTGGGGTCAAGCGCGGAAGAAGATCTCTGATTGGGGGTGTCATTTTTGTCATACCAATAACGTTAACGATTGCTTTCAACGCACCTAAAATTGATCCGAGCACTTCAGGATACTCTTCACCAAGATATTCATACAAAACAACGCCCAAGTGTCCCATAAGCTTTTCTTCTTGGCAGATGTTCATGACTGGAGCGAGTTTGGCGATCTGTAACTGCGCATAATACCAAATTATCGAGGAAACGACTCTGAATTCTACAATATCTATTGTGATTAAACCCCATGATATTATTGAGGATAAATTTTTAGATATCTAGCATTTGTCAAAACAGAAGAAAGTATGTGACTTCTGATACCTCGCTCTCAAATATGATGTAATCAACATCAAAGCAACGATACTTGATCACAATAAATTAGATAACAAACATCAACAAGATTATTCAACAGAAAATATACAAACATTTTGAACTATATTTACACTCTAACTAAAACCAAAAGAAACCAAGTCAGCAGCTTGCTGCCGAACTTTGGCAGACTTATTGTTGAGCCGCCACAATATTGTGCCACAGATCTGGGGAAGATATGGCTTAGTACGTCGACCCAAACCCTTACAAACTGTACCGAATCCATCCAACATAACTGCATCCTAAAACTTTTTTTAAGATGAAAGTGACAAGTTCTAAATATCAGCCAAAATGGGAAGCGTCTTAGCTGAATGCACCTCTTGTGTTTGTTCCTGGAATGCATAGACTATACCATCAATAAGTTGCTCTTCCAAACGTGCATCGATTTCGTTTGCTCCCATTAACGAGACAATATTCTCAATAGTTTCCATTACCATTTTTCGGTACAATTCATTTTCGTCTTTTAAATCATCGACAATGCGTGCAATCATCTCAGCAGAACCGACCTTTAGAATGATAAAACGATGACTTCATTAAAAAAATATTATTAAAACCACGGTGGAAAAAACGAGCATACCATGTCAAGAAAATATTCTTTAAATTCAGTCGTTGAGTTAATAAGAAGTTGAAACCCTGAAGAAAACGTAAGAGAAGAAGCATAGTAGTTTAAAATTATAAATGATTAATATCACACCAAAAATCAAAGTATCATATGAAGTTTGAAATTCGAACTTTTTGCGCCATTTCGACAGTTGTATCAACTAGCTGTCGATAATTACGACGATCTAACGCCATACGGTGATTCCAAAATGCTTTGAAGAAATGAGCAAGGATTTCATCACGAATATATGCTGCCTCAACTCCGTCAGTTGCACAGCATTGTTTGACTACCTGTAATATGAGCTTCGGAGTTTCAAACATGGATACAAGTTATGGGAAAAAATTTTTTTTTAATTAGCATAAACTACTGAAAGGAATAAACGACGAGTCTGTTCTTGTGCCTTTGAAACTTTGTTTATCTACAACTCTTAAGTGATTCAGCACTAATATGTTTTGAGAATGTGCAAAGATTTCCTTTAAATTACTTTAATTTAATGTCTGTTCGTCTTTAAATAATATCATTCTGTAAATGACCTTAAGCACGATTTTTTTCATTTCTTCATCAGGTGAAGCAAACTCTCGGATTAATATCAGCATTACTTCACGTGTATAATATGAAGCATATTCAGCATCCATCAATGGAATCAAAAAACCAATAGCTTTCAAAAAAGCAGCAAGACCCTGAAAATTACGTCAGATAACAAAATTTAAGAATATAATGATGATTTTTGATTAATTTGATACATACCTTTCCTCGATGAGAACGAATACCTTTCCACAATGGTTTTAAAACAGAGTCAAATGCTTCTATACCATATGGAGTTGAGGCTTCAGCAAGAGCTGCTAAACAAAGAGCCGTTATCGTCCGGACCTGAAAAACTACCCATAAAAATTCATATTCTGCCACTTTATGACTGCTTTGTACTAAAAACATACCAATCGTTAGAAACACAATAGCAACGATTAAATAACCAAAACCAAAAGCGAAATAAACAGAAGTTAATCGTAAAGACAGACTTTCCAACATTAGATCAGAGATTAGAAACAAATAAATTTATACCACTATATTATGCGTAATGTTCCTTTGGCTTAAATTCATTCATATTCACTTGCAAAAGTGTGAAATACTTGAATTACTTGTATTACCTTCGAAAAGCAATAATAATGAGAACAAAAATTACTTTTTGCTGATCATCAACAAGACCAGTTTCTACAATTTCAACAAGAGAACGTAAATGTGGCAAAACTGCACACCCCATAAGGATAGCCATTTGTTGAACAATTTTGATGCCTAAAATAACTTTCACATTTTTCTCATTTCAATGTAAAAAGGGCAAACTTATAGCATTGCTATATTAGAGCAACGGCATCTAGTTTTAAATTTCATCTTTTAATCATCACTTTGTTTCAAACACTACATATGGTAATAATTAAAAAACAAAGTATGCAATATTTCAAATGAAACACCTGTATGTCTGGCTTGCCAACTCTTCTTGCTCTTGCAAACTGCTTTCAGAAATGGAAGAAGAGCGGGAATGCCAAGAGCCGAAGCAACAACTGCAAATGCTCGAGCAGTTGTGTTCCTTACATATTCATCAACATTATCAATATCTGGTCGCATTGTAGAAATCATTGTAGCCAAACCTTGAAATTAACAAAATATGTTCCAGTTGGCTTCAACATGGCTATTAAACATAAGGAAATAATCACAAGAGTAAGATACTAGCTACTTTCAAAGGGATCTTAACAATGATAACATATGCGATAAACTACCAGCTGCTTTCGCGAGATTTGAAATTATTTCTCTCCCTTCAACACGGGCATAATAATCTTCATCAATCAACAAGGGTTCAATCACAACTAGTATTTTATGGACGTACGGTCGAACAAGATCATCAAGTTTGTACAGAACACGATCAATAACCTAGAATTCTACACGTGAATATCAGTGAAAATGCATGGAAAACAAAAAACTTCTTGGCGTATAAAACTGAAGCAACTGTTTTATTTCGGATAACAGAACAGTAAATCATATCTATGAAAATAAGCAGTATAATGGACAGTCACACAAGCATACCTTAACCATCAAGTGTCTTTCTTGATCCTCCAAAGTAGGAGACATCAGAAGAGGTAGTATTTGATTAAACAGTGCTCCAGCTCCAAAACGTCTGGCGTTTTCTGTGATTTTGCGTAATCCAGATTTACGCTGAGGAGGTGTCCCATTCTTAATTTTCAAAAGATAAGTCATGATTTCACGTTCAGCTAATTCCTCTTTACTTAAAGTACTCTCGTCTACTTCCATCAAAAGCTTATCGAAATACTGAATATCTTCTGGCTTGAGAGGTGGTAATTCTGTATTTTTCGGCTGAGTATCAATTAATCCCGCAATACCTAAAATCAAGTCGACAAAATAAGAATAAAAATAAATGGATGGAATGAATGAAGAGTTTTTAGTGATAGCAACTGACCTTTATCCCCTAAGCCAGGTCTTTCAGGCGTGCCCTGCATGATGAAACCCATTGGTGTCCCAGTGGCACCCATGGGAGTAGGTGTTGCTAAGAGTTTCCGACCCGGTGTTCGAAGCGGTATGTAACCATTCGGCGGAGGTAGGATCTTATATCCTGGTGGAAAGAGCGCATCCAATTCTTCATCGGATAAAGGCCTTAACAAAAGCTGTTATCTAATAACAAATTGCAAACATTTGCCAATTAATATCATGACAAATGATCTTAACTTAATATGGACACTATAAAAAATAAAATTCAAAAGATTTGAATTAAAGCAGTCTATATCACTGAGTAAAGATCATACTAGGAATACCAAATATCTCTTCTCTTGCTTTCCATATACAAAATCTTATACAAAAACGGCTGCCTTTAAGGTATCTCTTCCTTTCATTCGCAATCACCTGTTTCTCTCATCAATCTCCCTTTCCCACTTAAAAAGTGCCATTTGGTCTGGTGTCATTGATACGACTGGCATCATTGGTGTTTTAAGTCCCATTGCAGGTGTACCAATTGGTGTGGTCCCACCAGGCGTCATCATCGATGGCGTCATTCCTCCTCCACTTGGTGTGAAACCCAACGGAGTTGCAGAGCCGGGTATATGAGTACTTGACGGTGTTACAGCCGCTGCAACTGGCGTAGCCGCTGAAGGAGTTAAATCCCAACGTGACCGACGTTTTGATTCACCTGGTGTACCCTCTATCTATAAAAATTCTCAACATTTCCTGACATTATCCAAGATAACAAATACAGAAACATTATCCAAGATAACAACTTCAGATAAAATGAGAGGGAAAACTACTAAAAATGATTAAATATACTTGAGATGATTGAAAAATTAGACAACATTTGTAATAACTTATGTCAACAGATTTAAACAACCCTCATTTACCTTGACATCATCAAATGCACGAGCATCTCGTGGAGTCTCGGCTCCCCAACCAGGTGTCATACCTTCTCTAGCCGACGGTGTCATTCCATCACGGACAGATTCTGAAAACTGACAATTTTAAAACAACTTGGAAATTTACTGTAAATGTTACCATAGCAAAAACCTGAATTTACATGTAAAATTAACTGTTACGAACCACGTGGGGTTTCATCCCAACGATTTCGACGCGGAGTTTGAGTGGTTGGAGTAGCATCCCATGCTTTAGCTCCAGAAGCAGGAGTTGCATCAACTCCCGCAGCATGAGCTGGAGTTTCATCCCAACGAGCAACACGTGGAGTAGCGATCTGAAGCAATATGTGTCCTATAAAACAATTATATTTAAAGTAGAAAAAAAATTACTTCATACCTCAGCTGATACGGCAGACATATTTGATGTCAGCGTTAAACGCTTTCGCTGTGTTGAACCTGGTGTTTGAGATGATGGTGTTAAGGCACCTGCACCTAACGCCTCAAATTTTGGCGTTTCATCCCAACGCCCTCTTTTTTGCGAAGGAGCTACTGGTTTTGCAGGCTTCAATTCACCTGATTTTGCTTTATCTAATAATTCTTTTTCAACTTTATCCTGAAAAAACACAGCAAATAACACACGACATATAGAGCAATGGAAATACTTAGAACAGCGAATAGTCACAAACCGTTTCTTCGCGTAACATTTGTTCTTTCATGATCTGAGCATAAGAACGATCCCGAATGTCTGGTGTTTGATCAGCTAAACGGTAAAAAACAGTACTGAGGTGAAAAGTATTGGAAATAACAGATAGAGAATATAGAACTCGTGTCTTTCATTTCAATTAAATGTTTTTTATATTTATCTATGAATGATGTAGAAACTGAGGCATTTTAATCAAAGAATAATAGAGCTAATACAAGCAATGAAACTGTAATCATATCACGATAACTACACTTATGATTAGAAATGTATCACCCATTCTAAATATAACTAACCAAACATATCGGCTCGTTCTGGAGAAATTTGCCGTTGGCGAGCTCTTGCCTGATAATTACTTTGTCTTTCAGCAATTGTTTTAGTCCTGGTCTCTGCGAACGGATCATCACCCTACACAAAAGTTGTTAGCTCTATTTTATACAGAAGCACTTATTCAAATTTGTTAGCTAAAATGCTCACTTGTCCATGTTTGGCAGCTTCTTCAACGAAACGCTTCGGAGCAGAGTAAGCAGCTTTAGCAGAAGTTACTGCACCGAGCAATTCGTCTTCTACTTCATCTTCTTCGTCTCCAGCATTAATTGATGTCAAGTAATCATTCTTACGTTGGCCCCGGACACTACCATACACGTCCTGGAAGTGGCATTACATCCCATTTCCACTTATACGGAAATATCTACTACAGTAACTTGCGTAGCAGTCAGAAAACACAATACTTATTGTTGTATTTCATGTTTAAAGTATATGAATCTTTAAAAAAAACTCAAATAATTCTTGCAACACTTACTACTTCGACATTAAAAAAACTACTTCAGACAATTTTGAAAAAAATAAATAAAAAAGGTGAAAAAATTTACTGTGTCATAACCCCCCGCTGACACAAAAGCAATTTTATCATAACTATTTCCATTTCCCAAGGCGTTCTCACTATTTTCCTCGTCTTCCAAATGTCGTTTCCTTGTCAAAAGTTGCCCATCAGAACCTAAAAGTCCCAAAAAATGAAAAAAATTGATTTCCTTTAGTAATTAATGAAAATGAGAATCAAATAGTATTTAACGACAAGTTTAATTTTCTAATACATATTTTATTTGTAACAAAAAACTAGCGAACAAAGATATTCTACAATATGTATTTAAAACTAGACTGGCATAACATTGTTTTCTACAAACTAATGAATACTCAACATATATCTCAGAAGAAATTTCCGAATCATACTTTCAAATATAACGAAATCCAAAGATTTTACTAAGCAGAGCTTTTCACACGAAAAAAGTGGATGGTTATCTCTATAAGGCTTTAACGTAGAAGGCAACAGGTCTGCAGTGTCAACAAAGGCTCTTTCAAAACTGAACCACGACAACAATAACTATCTAACAAAAGCTAAATTTAGAAAAAACTACAAACAAGGAATCAAACCTTTGCTGGACATTTTGTAAGCGTTCTTCAGATTTTATCTTTGTACAAATGGTATACTCTTGATAACCTATACTGTAAAAATAAGGCATGTAGAGAAAACAAAGCTAAAAGCTTTTTAGACAGAACGTATAAATACTAAGTATTTCATAACTTAAATTGGAATATTTAAAACACAAAAAACAAAAAAAGATTCTCCTTCCCTTACGTATTAAGTGAAATAACGGACACCAAGTCAAATTGTCAATATCACTATAATCCAACTCAAATGAACTACAAGATCGCGGGTGAAGAGGCTAGTGATTACAAGGATGCATGACAAATTAAGAATTTTGCATAAATCCAAAGCAATAATTAAATTCTTTAAACACAAGTGTTCATTTTGGACGTTTGCCAAAAGTTTGTTATACACAGAAGGCGTAACTTCTTTCTAGGATATGCATCAATCTTTCTTGTCATGAACCTGACCATGCCGCGAAGCGATATAAAACTATTTACATACGTGTTGGTCCCTCCATGTGCTGCTTTATTCTACCGTGATGTTAAATCTTGGTCATTTTCCAGTTTTAGCTCGTGCATGATCAAACACCCAGTATGGAACATGAAAATAATTTTATTTAGTCCCTCCATTCAATCATTTGCTCTCATTATGAACGATTCAGCTATCATTGCATTGTGCGCGCATATAACAGTTATCATTCATTACCGATGGCGAAAATTCTACTTTCTATGCCATAGCTAGATGTTTAATATATATGCTTCATAAACAAACCGAACAACAAAGAAACCACACTAGTATAGCTCATTGAAAACAACAAAACGATCACGCTATGTTTGACATTTCAATGAAAGAAGTTTAAAAGTGAAATAAATCCGCAGATCTAGACGTACTGAGCGCATAACATATAGGCTGTGACCAGACATCAATAATACTGCAAGACATATATCTTAACGTATTAATGAAATAAAATTTTAATACACAATTTATTTTACTGAGGGAGTTCTGCTACCACTTTATCACGGTCCTCCTCGTTTGGTAAACGTAGCAAATATGTCGACGGTGATCCATTGGACACACAACTGAGCTAAAGCGGTATGAAATATTCAAATTTTGAAAAAGAAATATTACAGTGGAGATGCTTCAGACTCTAGAATTCAAATTATGACTGTAAATTTATAGAAGCATGACCTTTTATATTTCATAAGCAAAGTGAAAAAAAATCTCTAAGTATTACTTTGATCTCATATTTCAACTGAAAAGATGTAATGGGTTACATGAACACATACCCTCAATTTGGCATCATCAATGGTCGTGAATTTCATCGTGTCGTCAATGTATGAATTCACCCACACATTAGCTAAAAAAGATTTTCATTTAATTATCACTACAGCACTTCAAGCATTTTATTGATGTGTATTCAAGTGCCATACAATTTCACTTTGATTTAACAGATGTGTACATTTCATCACCTTCAATTGTCAAGAAGTCAAGCTGTTATTAATTCATAGGAATAACATTAATGCTTAGTTAACTGAAGTTTCACTTGTTTTGAAAGACATATGGAAGAGAAGCTTTTAAACTTACCAAATAAAGAGCCTATAAAGTTTTGAAAGGTGTTTAAATATCTTTCTTCTCATATAAATTGACATACCTGTAGTGGTCGCAGCACGAACGAGCAGAATTTTCTTTTCATGATCTTTCTCATCCTTCTTGATATACAGCTGTCCAATTCCCAACTTTTCATATTCGTTCCCTTTCAACACAAAAGCTGAACACCTAAAAACGTAAAAAAAAAATATCGATAAAAAAGGTCCTTGACAACTTTTGCAAATACTTCAATTCCTGCACTTACTTTAACGAAAACAGAGAATTCGGTTCCTCCACAATCACATTTTCTACTTTCGGTGGGATATATTCATCTTCATCTATAATACAATTATGTTACTGCTTTTCTTAAAAATTTTCAACATCCAATGTTTACTCACTTTCATCTGTGGTGCTAGATTGAACCATCGGTGGAGCTTCAAACTTAAAATCTGAAATTGAAAAAACAGTTATGATGTATGATTAAACTTGCTTGACTTTTCATACCGCACGATAATAAATTAGATTACTGAAAATAACCAAATTTAGGTTGCAAGGGATTGGAGACTTCAAAACTCTTTTCTGTCGAGACCGGTTTAAGGAATGAAAATACGGGAGTAACATCAGGTTTCCATGCCGAACTCAAGCTTTCTTGCCTGCAACACTTGAGTAGAATCAGACATGAGTCCAGAAATCTGGTCTTCCTGGTTTTGAATTTTATGCGCTGTAAACAAATATGGCTCAAACCAAGGACTACATTATTAAAGGAATCAAAATAATCTTAGACCAATTCTTAACACACAGGGAATGAAGCTTTACTCTAGAAGAATATGCATGAACTACAGTTTCTTACGCTTTTTCAGTTTTTCCCCCTTCCTCAACACTTCTAGTCAATTTTTCAGAAGCAAAGTTCTGCATCGTAGATGATGATTCATTCTTTGCAGACTTCTCACTCCAAACAAATGGAGCCATAGAACGTTTGCTGCTAATTGTTTCCTTAGTGATATTTACGACAGCATCTGAGTTGCCTCCATTTTTCGTTCCATTATTTAAAGTATTGCCGCTATTCAAATTTGATTTTAATATGCTTGAAGTTGGTGAATTATCAATAGCTGATGACAAATGAAGCACTGTTCTAATTTCCTTTTTTTCCTTTTCCCTTTCTTCTGAGTCACGCTTAAGAGGAGAGGAATTCTGAAAGTTATCTGAATACTGGAACGTAATAACTACAAAGATTAAGATTTTTTACAACGTGTAGTTTAAGATTGTGCTCAGATATGAAATTATATAGGTTGCATACTACCTAAGAAGTTCTAGAAATTAATATATTATATCAATATCAAAAACTGAGTGCAAATAAAAAATATTTCATATAAAAGAAATACAAATCTAGCAAAAAATTTCTTCGGTATACTTAAATTTTTCTGAATTAAGCTCTTACATGATTCAAAATAATCACTTCATTATCGCCTTCCTCAGGACCACCTCTTTTCGCTCGTTTCTTTCCGCGTTTTTCTAAAACAGATACATAACTGAATCAGAAAATTAAATGACAAATTAGAAGTGATAACCTCATTGCTAGTGTACAAAATGAACAAATAAATTGAGTTGCTCATTATTTTCTGTGCTGTTAATAATCTCAAATTTTACCTGAAGCATCCAGTGGTGATACAGACATATCAAAGGTTATTTTCGGCATGCTTGGTGAATTCGCTGTTGTGGTAAATGAATTCAGAGCACTATTTAAGGGAGTTTTTTGACTGACATCACATTTTGTCATTGTACTGCATTCACTCCCTCCATCTTTTTTTGAAACCTCCATTTTTCGTGAATTACTATTAGTATTACTATTCTCCACAACATCTACTGCCTTCATAACACCATCCTTACCAACCGAATTGATGCTACCATAAGTCCGATCTAGTTCTTCGACATGTTTCAAGTAGTCTCTTACAGTGGGTGACTGCAGTTCATTTGATTAAGTCTAATAAAATGATATCCATAACAAAGACTTTAAAATATGTAAATTTCCTGCAATTATATTATAGGGAAAAAAAATTACCAGGTCAGCGTCCGGCATTTTGCTCACAGATTTTTGAATAAAATTTAAAAACGTTTTGTTAAGAAGAGTCATCTTGCTAAGGAACAATTCTTCCATTCTAGCAGCAGCAATTTATAAATGATTACATCCACAACAACATTCCACTGCAAAAGAAAAAATTTACTGCAAGTTGACAGAATTTTAATCATGAATTTGCGAAGCTAAATAAATGAATACATTAATTTCAAGCAAAAAGTTACAAAGAAAAAAACCACCAAGGGATACGAAACTTCAATTTATCCGAATGCTTATAATACAAACCAAATTCAGTATATACTAAAAATAAGATAAACGATCCACTACTTGGTGTAAGACGTCTTTATTTTAAAACATTTGAAATCGCTTCTAGAAATAAACTTCCATAAGTCGCTTTGTGATGTTGATTTTGTAAAAATTCAAGAATTATGAAGTCAGAATGCAACAATCTGATCCCACCATGATTTAAACTCTGACTAACCAAAAGTAGGCAAGTTTGGATGTTTGATAGAAAAAAATTACGTGAAGCGATAGGGACTTAGCATTTCATGCACTTACCTCTATGTTAATTTGTTTCAAAAAAGTAAACTACGTATTTTTCACGAGATAAAATACGTATTTTTCACGAGTTAAAACATTAAACTAATCAGCAAGAAAATCACCAATCTTATTCATTTGATTTAAAATACAGAAGTAATATTATTTGCAGTAATTAATTACTCGCTGTCCGATTCATGCATTCATTATAACCTAATCCTTAAGTTACACAAGTATTATTAATTAGAGTTGATGACTGACTGGTATTAGCAGTACTTCACCAATCTCAATAAATGTCAAATTTCAATTCTTTCACAGTTTACGTGAAAAATATTTTTTTCTACAGAATGCTATGAGTTGTAGGATGTATTTTCTCACCAATCAATCAGTATTTTATCACGCATATTTATAAATACGAAATCAATACAAATTAACTTCATATTTTTTAAAAAAGTACGATTTTTTATAAGATTGACGTATAATATTGCAAAATTTTAATTTTCTTCTGAAATATTCTAAAACAAATTGTTAGTGTTTATTGGAATATTGCAG